CGGGCGGGAGCGCCGCCGCACTTCCCAAGCGGCGCACTATCCAGTGCGCCACCAGGCCGGCCCCCATGGTCTTCAATCATTCCTCATTCTTGCCCTCCCCAGGCTCTCTTTGCAAACTAGCACATGTCCTCTGGCAAGCTGAGCGAGCAGTTGGCTGTCTCACCAGCCATCTGTTGCTGCTCCTCGTCTGGGGAGGAGCAGGTTAATGCTTTGGCTGATTCTCAGTCACCTCTTCCACAGCGTGTCTACTCCTACCCAAGTTGCAAGCTACAGCTGCACATACCCATCTGTGCCTCAGTCTCTTGCTCTGTGGGACAGAGATAACAGCACTCAATTCCTGGAGCTGCTTGTTGAGAGAGAAACCACTCATTTAGGATGCTCTTGGGTCTGCTGGCCATTGAGCACAAGCAGCGTCCGCTCCCTTTCCTGTGCTCACGCTCCCTGGGACAGGCCTGGGAGGCTATTCCCATTTCCTGCCTGGATTCTCAAGGGCTCGACAGGCCTCTTCCCTTGTGTGTGGAGGGTTTGTTTGTGTTTATTTCCCTGGCATCTGTGTCCCTTTGTCAGCCTACCTGATAGCAATCTAAAATGAAATGGAGAGAAGAAACATTTGTTGGCAAAGATTTCAGCAATATAAAAGGCAATAGGAGGAACAAAGAACCAAGTCTGGGTGCAGAGATAGGCACATTCTGAATAACAAATAAGAGTGTCATTTAGTTGCTATGGCAACGTGAGAAACACAATGAAAACAGCAGCTTAACTATGTCCCCTAATGATGAATGGGCACGGCCCTTTGAAATACTGAAATACTGATCACACCGATTCCCTCGGATCTCGGCACACGACTCCCTTCGCCACCCCACCTGATACTCCATGTCGTAGCTGGGCAAGATGATCCGCCCATGTTTCCACTCGCTGCCCTGGTCCTCACGGATGACCCAGAGGAGCTTGCTCTCCTGGCTGGCTTCCCGCACCACCTGCAGCGCCACCCCGTGGCCGCCTGTGGCTTGGTACTGGAACTCCATGCACACCGGGCTCCGGGGCAGGTGGACAGGTGGGCTGATGAGCCGCGCGTACTGGCCCTCTCTCCGGCCGTCACTCTGCAGCCGCAGGAAATTCTTGTCATCTGGGGGGAACAAACCCAAGCAGAGTTTCTTGGTAAATGCTTGGCAAAGACACCAGTTTGCAGCTGTGGCCCCACAAGGGAAAAGATGGGACTGGAGTTTGGGTGTTGTTTGTTCATTCATGTCCTTGTTCTCCAGGCTCTGTGTCCCTTCCTTAAGGCTCCTTTAGAGCCTTGATTCCAACGCTGTGTCCTCTTGAAGCCCTTTCTTGGGTCTCTAAGCCAAATCAGTCACTCCCACCTATTTCTCTGTGTTGTTCTCTTTGTATTTATTTCATGCACAGCACACGGCGCAGGCGGCCTTAGGTCTTGGCTGGATGAAAATGTGCCTGTCTCCTTTCCCTGGCTCCTGAGAGGCTAGACCCATGTCTTAGTCATCATTGGTTTACCCAAAGGGCCAATGCAGTTTCATGAATAGTTGCCAGGGATGAGGTGGCTGCCGTATTGGAAGGTGACCAGCCAGGTGGCTTATGCTTCGAGCCATTGTCGTCTCAGCTGGGCACTGTCCAAATGGAAGACATTTAAAACCTCTGTCTCCACCAGTGCTACTAATTGATGGTTGGACTCTAGTGACTGTGACTCAGAAACTCAGTGTCAGCTTCAAGCAGAACAGGGGGTGGTGGCTGAGTAGGGTGACTTGGGGCTGACACTCCACTCCCTTCTCTATCCAGCCTAAGGAGGCCTGAACTTGGCCTTTCTCAGACAGCCAGGCACACACAGCTCCAATGGTAAAGGTGCTGTCATTACTATTAACAAAGACTATGTGTTTCGCAGAGAATATACATGTTCTGGGAAATTAAGTGTTCACCAGTCCAAATGTTTGGAGAACAGCCCTTTTGGCTGGTTGGTTTCAAACATATCAGATACTTATGCAGAAGAGCGAGTTCTCGTTACCATTGGCAGACCCCACGCCTTGCAAACACAGGTGTGGGGATCCTGCAATTCCAACTTGTGCTGGAGCATTCTGGCCACTTGTACAGAGAGCAGGGTGGCTTTTGAGGAGAGATCTTATTACCTCTTTTTGGCCCTGACACATGGGAGCATCTTATCCTGAACACTTCTGCAATATGGCAGGGACACTTTTCACTACATACCTAGCATGGAATGTGGGTGCATCAGACGCCTTAGAATCATGTTAATGTGATGCATGTTAATCTGAGACACGTGCACAGAGCTTTCTTACTCAACACCCTAGGTTTGTCAGGGAAGGACAGCCTAAGACTCCAGAGCCCTGACTCATCATGACACTCCTGGGACCACTGGTTAATGCTGTTATTGCTCCCACTGACACCATCTTTCTAGCTGAGAGCTGAGCTTGTGACAGACATCCCACCAGTGGCCCACAAACAGCTCTTTCCTACCCTGGCTGTCTCGCCCACTCCCTGGATCCCCTAATACCCTTGCTTTTGGACTCTTTGGGATTATTGCTTCAGAAGCTATCTTTCCCTGAAATCAAATTATATCAGTTTAGGATGCATATGTGGGATTTCAGTTGGTGCTTCCTTAACCATCCAGAGCCACATCTACAGATCCCACAGCATGTGACCTCTTCAAGGCCAAAGTCAGCACAGATAACTAAAAGGCAGCTGTCTACAGAAGGGAATTTAAATGGTGGTCTGCCGAGGGAGGAGATATGGATGCCACAACCAGGCACTCAAATATCTTCTAAACCTACGCTTCCTCTATCAGATCTCATTACTACTGCGATTAATGATTATAATTATAACTCATATTTGCATAATGCCGAACAGGTTACAAAGCATGTTCGTATGCATTATTTCATTTCATCCTTGCTATACGATTGCTTACTAACCTTACTTCACACGTGATGAAGGAACTGGGGCTCAAAAAGTTTAACGTGACTTGCTCAGGGTAGAGAGGCTAGTAAGACAGTGGAGCCCAGACTTGACTGCAGGTTGTCCTGCCTTCGTGCAGTAAGCTCTTCATTTCAGCTGCACCGCAGGTACCTTGCCCAAGTCCTTGCAATCAATCACACTCTGTTTGAGGCAAACTGGCTTCCCTCCTGGCCCATTCCTGCCTTTCCTCCTCTTACCTATAATTCCTCGCTTCCCCCACCACTCCACCTATCCCATCTCTTTTGCTGGTTCTCCTCCTAACCATGCTGGCACACGCAACATGAATCTCCCTCCTCTCAATCAATCCAGCATTTACTGACTGTACCCCTGATTTTTACTTGTTCTTATAAGGACTTGAGACCATTTTCTGTGGATTTCAGCAGGTAACCACCCCCTGCCTGTCACGATAATTTAACTGTTCTATGTGTGTCTTTCTTATTGCCCCGGTTGGTTTGTAAGGTCCTGGTCTACACATGTAAGGCTTAGTACTGCCTCTTCTCCCTGTCCCTAGATAATGCCATATATATGCCACTACTCAAGAAAATTTTGTTCCCTGAATGAATGAATGAGCAAATGCATGACAAACACATGGGTAAAGAATGATATAAGGTTATACATTGGCCCTCCATATTTGTGGGTTCTGCATCTGCAGATTCAACCAACCAAGGATGAAAAATATTTGAAAAAACCCCAAAACAATAAAAAGTAACAACACAGCAATAAAAAAACCAAATAAAAACCAATACAGTATAACAACTATTTACATGACATTTACATTGCATTAGGTATTATAAGTCATCTAGAAATGATGTAAAGTATATGGGAAGATGTGCACAGGTTATATGCAAATACTATCCTGTTCTATATGAGAGACTTGAGTATCCATGGATTTTGGTATCCACGGGGGGTCTTGGAACCAATCTTCCCCCACCTCACCCCCAATTCTGAGGGATGACTATACATCGGAAATGAGGACAGAGGGAGAATCATCCAGCCTTTGGTAATCCCCCCGATTCATATAATCCCTTCACAATTCTCTCCACCGTCCTGAGCCAACAACAGCCCTTTTCAAAGGTGAGGTGAACTAATAATAACGGGGTGGCCTGTGGAAGCACCCAGTCCGCTGAGACACCAGTGAGAACCCCCCAGTGCTCCCATGCTCCTGGTAATTTCCAAGCCCTTACTGTTTCCACCTCATATATAAAAGAAACCAGATTTCAGAGACTTATTATCCAGCCTTCTTCCTTCACAGTTTCACAAATAAGACCCACTTGCTGCCTGAAAATTGCTTGGCAGAAATTCTGCCACTTGTGTGAATTTACATTCTTAAGCGGCAGGGGAATCATAGCATAAAGGTTAGAATTTGGTAAGTAAAATGTGCGTGGAGGTGTTAAGAGCTGGGCTGACTGGATTTCATCTGGGTCTGTTCGATTTACCCACCCTGTTACTAACACTCCAGACACAACGAGGCCCAAGGTTGCACGGACTGCCTCTTCCAGGGCCTGGGCAGCCCCTTCGGCTCAGCTCCCCTTCCTCCTCCTCTCCCCTCTCGCTCCCACAATAAGATGATAATCACTAGGGATGATTTAAAGGGCCACTGCAAGACCAGGGAGTTAATGCTAGTGGCGTGCTAAGCACGAGCAGCTGAAGGATCATAATTCAGCGCTGACGTCTGAGCTAATCCACTAGTTCGCAGAATCTCCAGACAAGCAGGCCTCTGCATTTCACTTCGTTAAATCATTTGTGCCCCACTTGTCTGTTAAGTGCTATGAGCTCCAGGGAAGAAAGATGATATGTAAATTTAAGGAATTAGCAGTAGACATCAGTCAGAGAGACACTGAGCTGCAAAATGTCCCTGCCTGTCACTGAGAGGCCTGATTAGAACCAGAGACATCATGAAGGAATGACTCAGACCAGGAAAAGCCCCAGGAAGAGCTGAGAAAAGCAGGTGGAAGATAATTAACAAATTGAGCACTTACTAAGTGCCAGACATTGCACTGGAGGCTTTATCCAACTTATCTGATGTAATCTTTCTATTGTTTGAAAATAAAATCAGTATTATTTCTTCCATTTTTACCAAAAAAGAAACCGAGGTTCAGAGAATTGAAGTAGTGTGCCCAAGACCACTGCTAGAGAGTGACAGAAGCAGGACTTGAATCCTGATTGGACTCAGCAAACTTGCCAGAGCATGGCCTCTCATATGGATTGGAATCCTGGCCTGATGCTCACTAACCTTTCAAAGGCTCAGTCTTTCCATCTGTAAAATGGATATAACAAAGTTATGACTGCACAGGGTTGCGGGAGGAGTAAGTGGAATGAGCCTGAGCTTTGCACAGTAGCAGGGACACAGTGAGCACTCAATAACAGTTATTACTACTGCTACTGACACTATACACACTGCCTCCTATGCTTGCCTTTATTTTATTTTGAAAGGAAAGGGTAGAAAGACCACCAGTAACCTGGGCAGGCCAATCTAAGACTCAAAAAGAAGTATGGTTTGGCCCAAGGACAGTAAAGATGTTCTCTGGAATAAGACTAGTTCCCCAGATCTGCCCTAACCCCAGAAACCAGCCAGCCCCAAGCTGTCCATCATGCGCTGTTTACCATGTCTTTCGTGTCAATCTATGGTAGATGAAACAAAATATTACATGAGTGGGACATGCGTGGGACCTCAAGAGATCGTTCAGCGCAGGCCAGTCCTGCCTCCCAGAGGAACCATGCTGAAAACATCCCCGAGAACAGCTGTCCAACCTTTGCTTTAAGTTCTCCAGAGAAGGAGTTTCCATAAGCTACATTGGCAATGCATTTTCTAAGTCACAATCCTAACTGTCAGGAACTTCTTTTTTAAAAAATTTTTAATTTATATTTTGAATTGGTTATGAATATTCATGGTGTACAGAGCAAATTGTCACCACTTGTGCCTAAGATGTGATGGTCAAATCCATACTGGCAGCATGCCCATTACCACAAATTGAGATTATACCCTCTGTCTCCCACCCGATTGCCCCCCAATTATCCCCGACCCCCGTCCCCATCCCCCTTTCCCCACTCCACCTTGTATCTGTAAGTATGTTCTCTCCCTCTGCAAGTGCAACGCCTCACTGTGGTCTTTCTTTCCTACGGTCAGGAACTTCTTAAATTCAGTTT